GGTGTTTGGGGTCCCTGGTCCCAGCACCACTGCCAGCCCCCGAGCACCTTGCAGCAGCGCTAGGCCTTGCTCTTTGAGGTCCGGTTCTCTAGTACAGCACCCAACACCTATGTGTTTGTTGAACTGGGTGCCAGAGTTCTTCAACTCACACCTGGCTAGATTGAAAAAGTGCACACCTAGAGGTGCTGTGGGAGAGCCCTCTGCTTGCCACCACCTTTTCAACACATTGTCATCTCCTTGGGAATCAGGCAGAGCCAGCTGGCCAACAGTGTAACCTGCTGCTGCTTTCTCCCAGGCTGGGCTCCAGGAGGACCTGAAGCCCTTTGTGTCTGAGTATGGAAAGGGGTCAGCTATTCTCTTTGTTTAATCTTAAATACACAATTAGCATGCCTCTTTTCCCTTTACAATATCAAAACATCACATAATAACCAAAATGACCTTGACCCTGTGCCCTGAATCCCACCTACCCCACCCTGACAGGTTTCACTGTGCACCTGCCAGACATTTTTTTAAAAGATTTTATTTATTTGCTTTTAGACGGGAAGGGAAGGAGAAAGAGACAGAGAGGAACATCTATATATGGTTGCCTCTCATGTGCCCCCCACTGGGGACCTGGCCAGCACCCCAGGCATGTGCCCTGACTGGGAACTGAACGAGCAACCCCTTGCTTTGCAGGCTGGCACTCAGTCCACTGAGCCACTTCAGCCAGGGTGCCTGCCAGACATTTTCTAAAATTTTCTTTCACATCCACATACTTTGAACCTATAATAAAATATACAGTTTCATTTTGTGTGATTAATTTTACACGAATTGTGTTACACTGGATGTGTCATGCTGCAAATTGCTTTTTCCACTCAACAGTATGTTCTTGAAATAGCTAGAGATCTCACTCGTTCCATGCCATACAGCTTTGCCCTGAATGAATGTACACATTTGTTTTCCGGCTTTCCTATTACTGGGCATTACAGGCCCAAATTCTGCCATCAACATTCTCGTTTGTGTCTCTTGGCCCACGAGTGTGTTTCTCTTGGGAACTTACCAATTGCAGGGTCATATGTTGTGAAACTTTCAGTTTTAATAAATAATGCTAATTTGCCCTTTAAAGTAGCTATGTTCATTGATTCTCCTACTAGTAGCACTTGAGAATGTCAGTTTTTCTTTGTCCTCACCAATACCTGACGTCATCAGACACCTTTGTTTTTGCCAGTCTGATGGGTGGAAGATGGTATCTTGTTTGAATCTGTTCCCTGATTTCTCTGAGGGTGAGCACCTTTGTGTGTGTTTGATGGCTGTCCCCATTCTCCTGTCTATGAATGACCTGGGGGAGCCCTTCACATTACCTGCTTTATTCATCTTTTGTCTCTTAGAGATAGTTTGCAAATATTTCCCCTAGTCTGTTTATTATACACAAAGTTACAAAGTCATTGTTATATATGAGTTAAATTTTAATGGAGCCCTGGCTGGTGGATTGAGCTCTGTCCTGCAAACCAAAAGGTCACCTGTTCAATTCCCTGTCAGGGCACATACCTGGGTTGCAGGCCAGGTCCCTGGTTGGGGGCATGCGTGAGGCAACTAATCGATGTTTCTCTATCACATCGATGTTTCTCTCCCTCCCTCTAAAAATAAATAAATAAAAAATTTAAAAATTAATGGAGTTAGTTTATTAATTTTATATTTATTTGTATATACTGATTCTTATTTCTTTTTAAAGAAATCCTTTCCTTCCCCTGAGGTCATATTGATGTTCTCCTCCTATGTTGCCTTCTGACAATTTTCTGTAATTTTTTTAAAAATAGAGTCCTGGGCCTCATCACTTTTGAAGTGAGGTTGGTGAGAAATGGCCTGTCACCTACACTGTCCTCCCTGGCCACAGGCCACTCCTGAGAGGCAGACAGGGAGGCTCATGAGGCCATCATGTACCCTGACATAGCCGCCTGCCTCCAAGTTCTCCCAGGTGCCCGCATCCCCACCACCCTGCCCCGGTACCTCAGCCCAGGGCATGGCTCCCCCAGCTCAGAGCGACATTCACAGGTGCCTGCATGAAGGTGGCAGGTGAAGGACAGACTGTGGGTAGAATTGGGTTCCATTCAGCAGCTCTCTGTCCTGTGTCCTCCTTCACCCGAGACATCATGGCCATTCAGGGGTTACCAGACAGCCCCTGTCCTCTAGGATAGAGCAGCTGTGGGCCAAAGTGGTCAAGGATTTCCCTAAAATGACACTCAGGAGGCCCACAAATGAGTCCCCCAACCAGCATCCTCTTGATCTTTCTGAAGGACGGCCGCCCTTCTCTTTGGTCCTTGGAAGTCCCTGTGTTTCTCCTAACTGCCCGCAGTTCTGGGAGCCAGGCTCCCTCCCTCTCAGAGCGGTCCTCTCATGGTGGCAGATGCTTTTAGTTTTCTTATGAAATCTCTCACCGGGCTTTGATGTCTCAATTGCATTGCTGAAAGTTGTTCCGCTTTGGGGTTTAGTTCTTCCTTTTTTTTTTCTTTGCGGCAGAGGTGGTAGGTCTTTTTTCCCCTGAAGCCCCTGGGGCTGCCGGGCTTTATGAGGGGGTTGCCTGCTGAGAAACCCCACTGTCATTCACACACCCACCGACAGCACAGCACGCAGGTCCCTGCGCCTGCTTTCCCAGGGCACGCCCCTCGTGAATGGAGGACGAAAGAGGGCAGCGCCGTGCTGTTTGGAGGGGGAGGGGAAGGGAGAAAAAGGGAAAAAGGAAAGGAAAAGCACCCTATATTCATTTAGTTTTGTTTTCTATTTTTAAAAAAATGAAAGATTCCCATTGAGGAACAATGTCTTAAGTGTTGAGTAAAGAAAATAAGCTGTACCTACCACAAAGAAAATGTTGATAAGAATGAAAATGATGACTTACATTTCTGATAATATAGAAGACTAGATGTCTTCCAGTATGGAACTAGAAATTCTGGATAAAATAATTTTTAGAAATCTTTTAACACTTGGCTGCACTATTGGGGAAGTGAGGAAGATTCTTGCCCTAGATGGTGAGAAAGTGCAGTCCACACAGTCAAGCTGGTCTGCCACTGGTGTTTCCCGCGGGGGTGTCTGGCTGGCTCTCCTAGGTGGCTCACACCCTGTGAAGCACAGACAGAAACACGAGGTCCGGAAAAGCCGAGAAGATGGATTGGAAGGCAGTCATCCCCAGGAAGAGAGAACCCCAGATAGACTGTGCTCCCAGAGGGTTATACTGAGGTGTGCATGAGCAGGGGGTGCCTGAGAAAGAGAAGAGAAATGTATCTATCATCTCTTAGATCTGAATGAAAAGTAAAAATGGGGGGGGAAAAACCTTGGCAAATACCTGAGCCCAAGTTTGTTGGCACATGTGTTTGGTGTCAGAATGTATACACCTGTGCTTCCCCCACTACCCCACCACCAGTAAGTTGAAGTGAGTTTAAGCTGAATGTTAGGCTACAGAGCCATGGTAGAACCCGTCAGGGTGAGGGAAATCCTCTACAACCGGGACGTGATTGTGCACAACTGTAAATTACTAAAATTCAAACTGTACACTTCGGGTGGGTGGATTTTAGCCCTGGCTGGGTGGTTCAGTTGGTTGCAGTGTCACCCCATATGACGGTGTCAACCTTTTGTCACCCCAAATGGTGCAGGTTGGATCCCCAGTCTGGCACCTGCAAGAAGCAACCACTGATGCTCTCATGCTGATCTCTCCCTCCCTCCCCCTCCTCACCCCTCCCCACCCCCAAAATCAGTAAACATGTCCTTGGATGAGGATTTTTAAAAAATGGATTGATTTTATGATATCAAAGTATACTTCAAAGTGGTTCATAAAAAAAAAAAGCCACCTACCATTCTTATAATCAGAGACTTCTTTCAAGTTTCAGTATATTTCTCTGCACTTGTATTCTTGGTAGGGATATCTTTTAACACACCAAAATCATAGTAAGAGTGCTTTCATTCTCTTTTTCATTTAAATTTTTAATGTCCTTTCCAATGTCACTGCAATTGTTGGTAAATAAGATTTTTAACTTGGGTTTTTAATATGTATTACAAGTGTACATCTTGAATACTTTCTCATTTTAAGATAATTTCAAGTGAAACAGTTGTATCTAGAGCAAAAATTAAAGTTCTCTCTCCAACCACACACACTCCTACCCCTATTCTCACTTCCCTCCCCATAGGTAACCACTGTTCACAGTTTGGTTAAACATAAGTTTTAAATGGGTATATAATTTTCCATATGATGGGGAAAAAATCATACTCAAAATGTTCCCTTATTTGGGGGCATTTAGGTTGTTTCCTGGTTTGGCTATTTCTTTTAAGACATGTAGCAGAGGATTCCATGGGAGGTAACTCAAAGCAGGCCACAGGATTTAATGATCCTGGCTGTTTCGTTGTCCTCAGAATAGGCACTGAATTAAACACTGGAGATAACTTTCAAGTAAGAGAAGGGATCCAGCATACACTGAGGACCCCATGCTGTCCTCGTGTAATGCACCAAACAGCTGCAAAAGAGGACGTTTTCCCCACTTACAGTTGGAAAGCCATGGCCCAGGGGGGCGAGTCCCTGCCCGGGATCACAGGTGGTCTAGTGAGGAGCTCAGCTGCCTGTTGCCCAACACCAGCCCGAGGGCTTGGTGGTTCTGTGACCTAGCAGGGGGCTCTTCCCTTGTCATCTTCACTTAATTTAGGCAAACACCATCCAGTGTAAACCTCCAGCGGTCTGCACAGAAGCATTGAATCGTTACTGAGATTCTCGGTCTGTTTGTTTTTTTAGCTACAGTTTAAGCACCTAATATGCAGTAAACATTGAACTAATGCTTTATGTACTTTAAATCAGGCCTCACAGATAGAACTTTGAGAGGGATGGGCATTACTCCCATTTCCAAATGAGAGCTCTGAAGCCCAGAGAGGTAGATAAAGTTGCCCAGTGTGCCTCAGAGGAGGGACTCCGGTTCAGGCATGTGTGTCTCCAGCAGGCTGGTGAAGCCGGACTGTGCCTCATGCTGCTATCTCCTTCCTTCCAGACAACAGTGACCTGATCGCGTGCACAGTGGTCACCAAGGATGGCGGCATGGTCCAGCGGTTCCTGGCTGTCGATATTTACCAGATGAGCTTGGTGGAACCCGACGTGTCCAGGCTTGGTTGGGGAGTGGTCAAGTTTGCAGGCCTCCTGCAGGTATGACGGCCAAGAACTCCAGAGGCTCTTCTCTACCAACTGTACCAACTGTACAGACACACATGAGTATCACCTTCACAATTAATTTCTAATGACACTAAGACCACACAAACAGATTATTACTAAAAAAAGTTAAACTAGCTTTCAGGTATGGGTCAAATTCTCTTTGACCCAAACACAGTTCTTACAGTCCACTCCTCCCATTATCAATAATCCTTCCAGATCTGCTCTCTGCCGAATATATATATAAATATAACTACCTCACTGTTTTTTAAAATTGTGCATATATACATGAGAGAGGGTGCGTATGTGTATTTTTTATAGTGTCACATTGAATGTACTCTAAACTTTGCTTTTTTCACTCAACGTACATCTTGGAGAGCTAACCACGTTAGTAAATGCAGACTTGCTGGTATTTTTCTTACTGCTGCCTGACTGTACCAGGGAAGGGTATGCTAGTGCCCTGTGGTTGCTTCTAGCTTTTTACCTTTGCAGACAGTGCTGCTGTGAACTGAGTTGTCCTTACTTCCCTGTGCGCTTGGGCAGACCCCAGGAAGTTGGGGAATGCCTGTTTTCAGTGGCCATAGACACTGCCAAATTCCCATCCAAAGATGATTGTTGCCGCTGGCAGTGTAACAGTTCCCTTGTCCTCACCCCCTCTCCAGCAGAGCTGGGCTCAAAATTGCCAAAAGCCAAGTTGAGGCTTGGATTTTCTCAGTCTTTGTCTCTATGATCGGTGACTAGTGCCAGCTGGGTGATTGAAGGAAGCACACCAGAAGAGCCGAAAACAGCTTTCTAGCTCCCAGCTCCATCAGCCCCCAGTCCCTGAATGTCCAGGAAGCTCTCACGGCCCGAGACTCGCCCTGCTCTGAGGCAGTCCCTTCCCCGCTGAGCAGGCCTGGTTGTTGGCGGGCCTTGCTCGGGCCGACCCACATCCGCCCTCCACACTGTGGCCTGCTGGCAGCGTGCCATCTCCAAGAGAACCACCCACGTGTTCGAAGGTGCTGTGGCAGCCTTTTCCCCAAACTCCTCTCTTTCAAGGTCTTTCCATTTAAGAAATATCTTTCACCAAGGGTGATGTGAGAAACAACTCTATGAAGGATCTTTTATTTATAAAAAGACTTCCATGGGAGTGGTTGTCCATTAGGTGACTTAGTGCTTCTTATTTATCTAGGCTTATGATCAATTTCCTGTAGAATTTAGCATTAGGAAAGTGTTTTTCCTCCCTCGAAGGATTAATATATGTCCTTTATCAGACAATGAAAGCCACATAAACCTTTTTCTTGTGGTTGTCTTCCAGTAGCCACTGTTTGTCAGGCCTTTGCTCCACGCCAGCTCCTCGTTGTAAATGTGTAGTTTCTCATCGGATCCCCGTGTGACGTGGCCACGCAGGTGCTGTTCCCAGAGCCTGGGCCAGACTGAACGCCTGTGAACAGCAGCCACCCTCATGAGCCGTTTTCAACATTTCTCCTGCCTCCTCTATTGCGTCTGACATTCACGTCTGTCTCCTGCCTCAGGCTTTTATCTTAAATCACCTCAAACCTTTGTGGGAAGCAAATTCTGTACACAAAATCTATTCTGAGATTTTAAATTGGACTTATCCTTATTACACTTGCTATATGCGAGTTCCTTCTCTGGTTTTCAAATGTAGTTTTCTTCAGATGCCTGCTAAGTGACCCTCTCTTCTCTTTTTCAGAGGTAGCTTTTTCCTTTAATAACTAGGAAATTTTCAGAGACATACAAATGGGTGCTAATGATGCCTCCTCCTTCAGAGAAACAAGGAAGAAATGGGTTTGTAGGTGGGTCAGTATAAGCTCGTGCCAGATAGCATAGAAATTTGGTTATCACTGGCTTCTCAGAAGTAAGACTGTTGGAGCTGGACTGGTGGGTTTCCCGTGTCCCCTTGGTGAGGCTGGCACACCCCTTCATGCACCAGCTCACTCGAGTCTTATGGGCGGTTGCCCCCCCACCACCAGCATCGCTCCTTTTGAGCGCTCAGTGCCCCCCGTGCTGTCTGCTCCTGCTAGGCCTGGTCTGGATTGTGTCCATCCTTGACTGTCTTAGGCTTGGGAAGCTGATAGTCTCCTTCAGAGCAAAAGCGAAGTCCAAATTGGGTGGGGGTGGAGGTCTCATAGATGAGACATGGATCCCACAGCTTCCGAGCAGGCACCCTCCTCCTGAACCTAATGAACCATTTTCTTTCATCTCCTCCCTTGCAGGACATGCAGGTGACCGGTGTGGAGGATGACAGCCGTGCCCTGAATATCACCATCCACAAGCCTGCATCCAGCCCCCACTCCAAGCCTTTCCCCATCCTCCAGGCCACCTTCATCTTCTCAGACCATATCCGCTGCATCATCGCCAAGCAGCGCCTGGCCAAAGGCCGCATCCAGGCAAGACGCATGAAGATGCAGAGGATAGCGGGTGAGTGTTCGGTCCCAGTGCAGTGTCCTCTGAGCCCTTGGGGACAGAAGCAGCCACGGGACTGTCAGCGTGGTGGTCACGTTTACCTTGAGAATCACCCTTACTGCTCCCAAAAAGGCCATATACGGTTCAGGAATTAATTGTGTTTTGGTGAGCATCTGTGCAGCCTTTCCCACTTCCTAGGTACTTGCTTTCTAGAGAATCTCTAGGGTTGCATGGAAGAGGAGATGCTCTCTCCCAGCCAGGGAAGGGAAGAGACTGTGAACGGGCGTCAGTGTGGACAGCAGCTCTCTCTCCTGCACGTGGCTGTTCTCCAGCTTCAGTGTTTATAAAATGCTTGGCATTCCTCTACCACCTTTGATTCTTAAAACAACCCTTGAGATCAGTGGGGCCTGTTCTGCCCATTTTTTAGAAGAATAAACTGAAGTTTGGTGACTTGCCCAATATCACACAGGCAGCCAGTTGGAAGAACCCAAATGCAGAACTTCCTGCTCTAAAGCCCATTCCTTCCCAGCGCTTATGAAAGGCCAGTCTGCTTGCTGAGGGCCCAGGACCCAGCCCTGAAATCAGAAGTCATTTCCCATTTCCCAGGAATTGTGGAGAATTTGTGAGGATGCCTTATACTGCCCAGGGTCTGGAAGGCCCCAGCTTTCTTAGAAGTAAAGGCACTGAGATAAGGGCATTCCATTCATCAGGACGGAAGCACAGCATTTTTCTTAGGGAAATGGCATTCTATCAACTACTAAAATTATAGTCTTTCTCAAGACACCAACGCCTTTCAGTTCCAGTGCTAATGTGCATTCTGGTGTGGTCTCTGGGGGCTTTCCAGCCCACTGAGGGGGGGAGGGGAGGAGAGCTTTCTGTACTTAAAAATAAAGACCTGGAGGGCAGCAGCAGGGTTTCTGGACGTTGTGGACTCTGTTACTTCCCGCTTGTGCCCCGTGGACGTGCGCAGGCCTGCATTCCGTGTGGTCCTCCTCTTCTTTCTCACCGAGCTGAGACTTGGCCTACAAAATCATTACAGAAGCATTTTGTAATGTGCAAAGTGACGTAAATCACTCAGCCCTTTCCTTTAAGATTTATTTTCAGAGGGTTTTTTTAATGTAAAGCAATTTCTCACAGCTGGCATGAAGGCTAAATATTTCATTTGAAAATGGAGAATTATGCCATAAATTGACTGTGAGAACTAACGCCTTGGGTATTTTCTTCTATTGATTTTTTTAAAGCCCCTCGAAATTGCTATATCATGAGATTTGTTTATGGAAGGGAGAGAGCAACTGTGACAGATAAACACATACTGGTAAATATACACATACATATGTGTGTGTCTTCTCTCTTACATGCTTTTCCCCATGAACACATAGATGTGAACTTTCAGGGCAGAATTGGCCCCGTTTCAGAGCCTGGGTGAAACCTGGCCCTGCGTCCATTTCTGAACCCTTCTCCAGGCACCAGCTGTGCTTCGAGACTCAGGCGGGACCAGTAGTGTCACTCTGGTTTCCCCAGCTTCAGGCGGCCTGTTGCCTGCTTAGGCCTCAGCCAAGGGGTATGCCTGACAGGGCCACAGCCACTCTGGCGAAAACCGCCCTGCCCAAAGTCTCCTGGCCTGCATTTCTGTCCCAAGCACTGAGCATGACCGTGGGTTTGTTTGAACGCAGCCCTCCTGGACCTTCCGATCCAGCCAACCACTGAAGTCCTTGGATTTGGACTCGGCTCCACCTCCTCCTCCCAGCACCTGCCTTTCCGATTCTATGACCAGTGCCGGCGAGGCAGCAGTGACCCCACAGTGCAGCGCTCTGTGTTCGCGTCCGTGGACAAGGTGCCAGGTGAGCCGGCCCCACCCTGTGCCACCAGTTGTCCCTCCACTGGGGGGTCCAGGGCTTTCCCTCTGTGGAGCCTGTGTAAACTTCTTCTCCCTTCTCAGAAATCTAGCCATTTGGAAGCACCAGATAAATTTCTTAGAATTTATCAAAGTGTAGCACAAAATTAAACACAAGCCACAGAAGGAAATCTTGGCTTTCTCTTCAGTGTTCTGCCGCCTGGCTTTGGTTTTCCAGAGATTTCTTGGGAGTGTGGAAGGACTTCTCAGAATTAAGAAAAAAAGTTTCTTGGAAATTTCTTGGAAATACTTAGATGATTAGTAATGAGGTTGTGGAAGAGTAATTTCCTTTTCCGTGTAGGATGACTAGAAAGAGATAGTGTGTGTGGTTCCTGCTCCAACCCCCTGAAGCACTAAGACTTCAGAAGAAGGGCCCACGGCCCACGGAGCAGCTGCCGGTGTCTCCTGTCTGGGAGCCTCTCTGACCCCCTCCTCCCCTCTCCCAACAAAGAAACATGAATAGAAAGTTCAAGGTCGGCTCCCTGAGAGCAGAAAGAACTGCTCCAGGAGGGAGAGCTCTCCCCTTCCTGCCTGACACTTGTGGTTTAAGTAAATCCATGTGCACCCCCGTCCCTCGAAAGAGCCTGGCTCTTCATTGCAGAACTGCTGAAGCGGGCCCTTTTGCCCCCGCAACTTAACCTCCCCACAGTTAGGGTTTCCGGCTTCAGTTGTAAATGTAGCAAAATGTTTTCAAAAGCAGTTATAGATTTAAGAACAAAATGCAGCCATAAGAACCAGTCCAAAATCAAGGCCTTAGTTCCCCTCCCCCACCCATTGATTTATTCTGTTTTCATTCTTTGATTTGCTTAATTCATTTTAGAAATATATATACTATAAGCGTGTGATATTTGAAAATCCAAACAGGATATGGCAAAATCAAAAATAAGTCTAATTTGCCCTCAAGTAACCACTTTTAACTATTTCTTGCATATCCTTTCAGAAATGTTTCTTTGTATGTCACGTACATACCTTTGCTTGTCTGTTTTTGCACTGCAGCTATTAACATACGCGATTCTGCTCCCATCCATTTTGCTTGATAGGGCAGCAGTACATTTTAGCACATATAAACTGACTTCATGCTCATTAACTACTGGTATTCTATTATATGGAGGGACCCAATAAATCTTTTATAACATTTAGCATTGATGGCCGTTTGGCTCTTCCAGTGTCACTGTGCACACCCTTGGGGTCTCTGTGCAAATCTGACGTGTCTGGGGGGTAAATTCCCAGTGGCGGGTGTGCCATCAGAGGGGAAGTTTTTCATCTTGATATGTGCAATCCCAGCGTGCACTGTGGAAAAAGTGCACCAGTTCAAGCTTCCACCCAACCCAGGGACTGGTCTCATTCTTAAAACCAGTCTTAGGCTATGAGACTGATTGTAGCACCACCTGCTTTCACCTGTGAAATGTGCGATGTAAACATTCTCCCTGCTGTTTCACGTTCTGTAGAGACGGTCGCTAAGTTAATATAAATGATGACCATGAGTCTAGGTTAACTAAATACGCACTGGCCTGGTAAAAAAAATCAGCCCTTCCTTCCTTCTTTCCTTCCATCCTTCCTCTTTTTTTTTATGCACAGTTATAATTTTACTTTAAATTTATAAGCACCACTAGTTGTAATTTTTTGATATATAATTGACATGTAATATTAGTTTAGAAATAATTTCTTTAGGGTCATTGGGGCTTCTTTCAGCTCGGAATCCAGTGGGTTAAGGAGAAAAGCTCAGGCCTCATTTCAGATCCATCCTTTTGGAAACAAGGCAAATGTAAATAAATAGAGCCAAATGTCACATTCTTCAGTATTTGCATAATCATCTCCCTGTTTGCAGTAGGCTTTACAAAGACTTACTGCTGGCTTCTCCCACCCTGCCTGGGCTGCAGGGTGGCTGTGCAGTCATCCGGCGCTGGAGTGTGGCCATGTCTACACTGGTGTGCTTGGCATGGGGGTTGGCCCAGCTAGAATGCCCAGTGTCCTATTGCTGGTCCCAGGGTCAGGGTATGTGAGGTTGCCCAGTTGGAACTAGGACAGTCCAAGATAGTTCCTTGAAGGCAGCCATCCACCCTTTGGCTGTGTCTGTCCCCTGGAAGTGCCACTCAGGTGTGGGGTGGGATGGGGACATTCTCGCAGATGTGCTTCCCAGATCTACTGTTCTGGGCCCTTGGCTAGAGAGGCCTCGCACGCCTCCTGCCTTAGCCTGGGCTGGAGATGTGACCTAAAGAACAAGTTGAAACCATTGAGAGTCAGTATCATTCAGAGGGAGGGAGGGAGGGGAGCGCTCCCTGGCTCCCACCAGCCTCACCACCTGCTGTCTCAGTAGTCAGCCCCACAGCCACCAGGCATCTCGAAATCATCCGAATTCTGCTCTTCCCTCTCCCACACCCACTGGCCTGCTCTGATCACAGAATGTATTACACTTTTTCTCCCCCTCCTGGCCCCGGGGTCTCTCCCTAGATCGTGGCAACAGCATCCTCAGTATTCTCTGGCTGTTAGTCTCATCCCCTCCCTCCCACTCAACTGGTGGGATCTTTCTAGAAGAGAAATCAGATCATACCACGCCCCTGCCTGCAGCCCTCCAGTAGCTCTGAGTTGCTCTTAGAACACACTCCACTTCTTTCACTGATGCTGTGTGACCTGTGAGGTCGGCCCTCAGACGCAGCTCGCATCCTCCCGGGCCTACCAGCCCCAACTGCCGCTCTACGTCAGCACTTGCCAACATTTGGGCTTCAGGGTGCATTTATACTCTTTTAAAACGTATCGAGGGACCCAAAGAGCTTTGATTTATATGGATTATATTTATTGACATTGCAGGATTGGAAATGAAAACTGAGAAATGCTTTAAGTATTTACTTATATATATTTTAAAAATAAACCCATCACATGTAAACATAACACGTTTTTTATAAGCAGCCACCTTTTTCAAAACAAAAAAATATTTAATGTTTTATATTTTTGCAAATGTCTTTAATATCTGGCTTAATAGAAGACAGCTGGATTCTTGTGTCTGCTTCTGCTTTCTATCTGTTGTGATAACATACATTATGTGACCTCTGGAAAACTCTTCTGTATACTCCTGGGAGAATGAAAATAAAAGGAAAATGCTGTCTTGTTACTTTTTTAAAGATTTTATTTATTTATGTTTTAGAGAGCGGAAGGGAGGGAGAAAGAGAGGTAGAGAAACATCAAACATCACATACCCCCTACTGGGGACCTGGCCCACAACCCAGGCATGTGCCCTGACTGGGATTCGAACCAGTGACCCTTTGATTCGTGAGCCAGCACTCAACCCCTGAGTTACACCAGCCAGGGCAGCCTTGTTATTTTAATGAAAGTAGCTCTGACTCTGGGAGGTCCCCAGAGTTCCCCAGGCCATTCTTTGAGAACCACTACTCTACGCATGGTTCTCACACCCTCTCTCCTGCCTCAGGACCTTTGCATCAGATGTTCTTCTCCAGATCTGCCTCCTATTTAGTACTCAGGTCTCAGTTTCCTCAAAGAAGTCTTTTCTGATCACCCACCCCCAAAAGGTTACCCCCTCCCCTCCATCACATTAACCTCGCATTTTCTCTGCGACCCTTGTGGGCAACATATTTTCTTTGTGGCCAACATATCTGTGTACCTGACCATGGTTTTTCTCCACCATGGGGAATGTCACTTCCATGGCAACCTAGTCTGTCCTGCCCCGACTGGGTGTCAGCACCTGGTTCTGTGCCTTCATTTACTAGTTGTTGAATGAAGAATGAGCACAACCTTGGAGCAGTTCCCACCTGGTACCTTCTCCCTGAGTGAACACCAGGAAGAAGAGGAAATTCCCTGAGTCCCTGGACGTTAGGTGGTTTAATCTGTGGCACTTTGACATGGGAACATGAGGGAACCTGGGAACATGACATAGGAACATGATGCTCAGAAGATCATAAGCATCATTCTTATGCTTAATTTCCATCACCAAAGTGAGCAAGATATACGTCCCAAGAGGGCAGATGCACTGGTTGGTATACTTGGGTCAGTTGCACATTTACTGAATTTCACTGGCCTCACATTTCTTAGAGGTTTTCAAAAGCCAGAGAGTGGGCTGGGGGCAGCCCCTGCTGGCCTCTGTTGCCGTGTCCTCAGAGCTGTCATCCAGGCCTGGGAGCCCGGTGGTATTGCTGTGTTCCCTGGCACAGGCCGCACTGTCGCAGACCCCCAGGCAGAGTGGGGTCCCCACACTGACCGCCCACCTCGGGGTGCCTGCTGGAGGAGCTCTCGCTGTCATGACACAGCTTCCAGTTCTATCTGCAGGCCCAAGTAATTGTCATAGAGCAGTTTGTCTCCCCTTTAGAAGCTATAAGTGATTATATTTGATGAAAATATACCTTTCATTTCCTTGGAAGAGATATTAAAGTAGAATATAAATCAGTGCTAATAGACAACTAGCCACTTCGGTATATTTTTCTTCTTCCATTTGGCTTGGAAAGAAATCACAAACTCTGTTTATTGGACGGTTTTATGTCAATGGCTGTTGCCCCCACAGAATGTCAGGCTCCAAGAGAGCAGAGGCTTGTGTGTGTGCCTGGCCTAGGAGGGCGGGGCCAGTGGTGACCGTGTGTTGGGGCGGGCAGGACTGGCTCTACACTCTGGCTCTGAGGCACAGTTCTCCATGGGCAGCACCCTCAAGGATCCATCCCCACTGACCCATGGTGACGGCAGATTGCCAGAAACTGCCAGTGGGGGAGGGGGCTGGGTGGATTTCCAAATGAGCCCACTAGGGCCCTTGCTCCATGAACACTGAGTGGACCAGCAGACCCCAGAGCAGAAGCTGCTCCTTAGAAGTGACTCTGGTCATCAGGGGCAGCGGCCTCCAGTCACAGGGCCAGGCTCTGGCCTCCCAGAGCAGCCCCCTCAAGTTCCGCTCCTGAGCTCCTTCTGTCCAGGAGGCGGCTCCCAGGAGTCCTTCCTGGGCAGAACACC